CGCCAACCAGCTCTGCAACTCCATGCCTGCAATCGTTTCACGGCAATTCATGCATAGCCTGAGGCAGTTGCTTCGTTGGCTTGAAGCCGGCCAGGCGGAAGGCGCCGCGATGCCAACAGAAGGAGTGGACGAGCAGGATCGGCCAGACCAGGAGGAGGAAGAGGAGGACAGCGAGGAGGAGATGCCGCCTCTGATCGACCACGAGGGACGTCGCCATGCCACACAAAGGGGGAAGCCGCCCTTTAAGGTCTTGGACTACGTGGTGCGGATTGAGTGGCAGAAGCGAGGCTATCCGCACGCTCACATTCTATTGTGGGCAGATGTGCCGGATGTGGCTGGCCAGCATCGTCCGGAGGAGGAGGAGGAATCAGAAGTGGATTGGTCCGACGATGAGATCCGCCAGCACACCGTGCCAGCATCCGCGGAAGACCTCAGTGACAAGTACATCTGCGCTAAGTCACCCAACCGGTGGAAGCACGATGAGAAGGTGAAGCCAAAGGACCGTGAAATGAATGCAAAGCTGGCCACCATGGTCGTTCGCAATTGCAGCTCTTACTGCGGGAAGTTCACCATAGGTGCTTGCCGGTTCGGCTTCCCAAGGGCGCCAGAGAAGCAGGCCAGGAGGAGGAATGCCCAAGAGCAGTTTGCTAGCCGATGGAAGTCCACCTTGGCAGCGCGGAGGCACGAGGACGACGGCTTCATGTGCCAATACAACATGGAGATTCTTCGGCATTGGCGGGCGAGCATGGACCTGCAAGTCATCTGTGAGCTAAGCTGCGCCAGCAGGTACATCCTCGGCTATTGCTTCAAGTCGGAAGAGGACGCGATGGCCAGGAAGAGGGTGGACGACATCATGCAGGGCTTCTTGCAAGATGCTGGTCGGGTCGACCTCACCACCCACCAAGTCTACAAGGCGGCGCACGCTGCAATGCAAGGCCGCACTACTTCTACCTTTGAAGCTGCGCATTTGGTTCTTGGCTTTCCCACTGTCTTCTTTTCTCGGGACAATGATTGGGTGCAAGTTGGGCCACCCAGCACCTGGACCTTGTCTGTGCCTCACCATGAAGAAGCAGAGGCCTTGGAAGACCCAGCGGCCTACAAAGCCAGGAAGACCGAGTCTGGAGGCACCTTGCCCAAGGCCCATTGGTGGTACGGCCAATTGCAGCAACATTTTGCAGACGAGGTGACCGAAATCCCCATTGAGGGCAAGCCGCCCACCAAGACAGCCTGGCGCAACATCCCCTTCTTCGACTTCGTGGCTGGCTTTCGCATGGGCAAGATTCCGACCGGGCAGCAGGCATCCTTGCCACAGCCAAGGCAGCGACCAGCAGTGGTCGGCCACAGGTCCTTTAGCCCGGACAAGGAGCCCGAGGAGTTCTACTATTCGAAGCTGCTCTTGCACATGGTCTGGACCAAGCCTGGCGACTGGCTGCAAGAAGCGGATGGCGGCGGCCACGCCGCGGCCTTCCGGCGGATCGCCTTGGACCATGACAACTACCCAGACTTCTTGCAATCCATTTGCTTCCCGAAGTTGGATGGTACTGTGCAGGCCGCGAGAGAATTGCAAGCCGCGCAGTCTGTCATGTTCCTCAAGGCCAAGATGGATACTGCAGGCTGGGTGCACAGTCGCGCAGAGGAGGAGAACTATAGAGACTCCATGCGCATCATGCAAGCGCTGAAGGACCGACACGGGGAGGACATCGACTTCTTGGCGCCGGATCATGTTCCTACCGGGCCTGCGCAAGACATCTTTGGGCCCGTGGAGGGTGGGGAAGCGGCCTTCGACATGTTGACCATCGAGAATCCATCCCCAGACGTTTTGAAGCAGAAGCGCTGCATGGAATACGTTCTTCGGTCTGTGCTGGAAGGGCCATCTACCAAAGACAAGGGCAACATGCAGCGGCTCAACTTGTTGGTCCACGGGCCCGGCGGCTGTGGGAAGTCAGTGGTGACCAGGGCGGCTGCCCACATGCTGCGACAAGGGCGTGGTGCTGGCCGCGCCAACAGGAGTTGCTGCCTTCAACATCAACGGCGTGACCTTGCACTCCAGTCTGCTCTTGCCCGTCATCAACCAGAGCTATGGCAAGGCTTGCGACGTACCTTTGCCACGGGGGGAACAGCTTGCAGCCTTGCAGAGCTTCTGGAAGCACGTGGATGTACTCATGGTTGACGAATTGAGTTTTGTGTCCTCGGACATGCTGGATCGCATCGATCAACATTTACGTTTGGCCAGGGACATGCCCTACATGCCATTTGGTGGCCTACATGTTGTTTTCATTGGCGATCTATACCAGCTGCCACCTCCAGGAGGTCTCCCGATCTTTGCTTCCAAGCTATGGCCACTCTTCGAGCTGTGTGAACTCGAGGGCAATCAGCGGGCGGCGAGAGATCCAGCCTGGGTCGCCTTGTTGGCTCGTGTGCGTGTGGGCCAATGGACCCAAGAAGACATCCAGACCTTGGAAAGCATGGTCCTGAAGAAATACGGGAACCGCAAGCCTGCAGCCGGCGCCGTCCACTTGTTCGCAACACGGAGAGCCGTGGCAGATCGTAACCGGGCATGCCTTCAAGAGTGCGTGGAAAGTGCCCACACAGAAATGTTCGAGTGCCCTGCCGTGGACATCTCGGTCAACACATGCACCTTGCTGCCGCCAGAGAAGGCATGGCCACTATCAGAAGACACCGGTGGCCTGGAAGCTCTCTTGGGCCTGGCCGTGGACATGCCCGTGATGCTCCGCAAGAATATGGACGTACAAGATGGCCTGGTGAACGGAGCTAGGGGCGTCGTGCAACACATTGACGTCCACGAGAGCGGGGAGGTGCAGAAGATCTGGGTCAAGTTTGAGAAGGATGCGGGCAGCAGGTGGCAGCATAACAATCAATGCGCCAGTGTGGCCATTCAGCGGTGCACAGCTTCGTTTCAAGACAAGGACGGCGACAAGGCGGAAAGGCGTCAGTTCCCCTTGGTTTTAGCCAAGGCCGTCGCAATCCACAAGAGTCAGGCTGCCACCTATCACGAAGGCGTGCATGCCCGGCTGGATGCGTCGGTCAAACAGGAAGGGCAGGCATATGTGGCCCTGAGCAGGTCTCCCACCAAAGACCTCTGCACTTTGGAGCGCTTCGATCCAAAGAGCCTGCGCTTCAACGCCAATGCCGAATGGGCCCTCTTGAAGTTGAAGGCCAAGCAAGCGCAGAGCACCGGCCCAAGGAAGCCAGCCTTGCAAGAGCTCTGGCAAGAAGTCATCCGGCCGACTGAAGACGCCGCCTACTACCAGGGCAAATTGGCCTGCACCACGCCACCGGATTGGAAAGCATATGCCGAGGAGCAACGGCTTAAGGACTTGGAGGTGGAAGAGGGCAAGGCAGGCTCGCTGACTTGCCCCAAGTGTGGCTTTGTAGCAACAGACACGACGAACTACAAGAAGCACGACCGTGTATGCCCAGCCAAGAACAAGAAGTCGCAGCGCCCCAAAGTGGCCGGGAAGGCGAAGGCCAAGCCAGTCATGAAAGATTCAAAGGCTGTTCCTAACAAGCAACCCGTCCACCAGCTTCAGCTTGCAAGCTCTGCTCCATCAGATGGCAACCCTCCTGTCGACAGCCCACCTCCATTGCCTCCACCGGCACATCCACCAGACGCCGAACATGGAGCAGACAATGTGGACGCAGAGTTGCCCTTCTTCCAGAAGCAACAAGAAGCGCGCTGTGGTATGCATGCGCTCAACAATGCGCTGGGAGCGGCAGTGTTTGGGCCCGCGGACATGGAAGCCGCCGCGGCTAGCTACATGCAAGAGCTCGAGGGCATTGATGAAGATCGGGCAGAACACATCGGGCGAGGCGGTTGGTATTCTGTGCAAGTCCTCTACACAGCCTTGTTTGCAGCTGGCTACACCCTTGATTTCCACCACCCAGTGCACACCATGGCCGAAGCACAGCTGTCCCCGGCCTTCATCCAAAATATCGACAATTGGCATTGGGTGGCCTACCGCTGGGACGCACATGGTGACTTGTACTTGCTGGATTCGATTGAGCGAGGGCCACGTCTGGTAACCAAGGAGGAGTTTGTTGAATCCTGCGGGCAACGTTTCACCTATGCAGTACAGATGCCTGACCAGCCGTAAGTGCTTGGTCTTGGCTGCTTGTTTCACCTTGCCACAAACCATCAAATTCTCAAGCATTAAGCAAAATATAAACTAAAATCAAATATGTATATATATATATATATCCGTGTTTTAATATATTGAATTATATTGATATATTTCCGTTTTTGAAGCCAATGAATTATACTATTAAATACTACTGGTGAAATATTAATATCTTTCAATATATAAACATGTGAATACATCTGAATTGACAAATTAATAATCTCTTTGCGATTTTTTAGCAAGACAAGCACGCGCCAAGAAACTTTTCCAATGGAAACCACGCGCGCCAAGAAACTTTTTCAACCAGTGCTATAATTGCTATTTATCAGGCGCCTTGAGGGTTTAGGGTTTAGGGTTCGCCAACACAGGTTGGCGCCCTAGCCAAATCCTTGCTTTAAAGTCATTTATAGTAGGCCTTGCCCTAAGCTCTGGCATGCCCTAAGCTCTGGCTTGCCCTAAGCTCTGGCTTCCCTGTTGCAAATCCTCTTCTAGCAGCTTTGCCTTGTTTAGTAGCTTTGCCCTAAGCTCTGGCGTGCCCTGAGCCCTGGCTTGCCCTAAGCTTTAGGCTTTAAAGTCATTTTCGCTCCAAACCGTGCAAGTATCTCTGTAACCACAAAAAAACCTGTGTTGGCGCACAAGTGGCGCAAGCCCTCAAAGTTTAGGGTTTAGGGTTTTAGGGCTTCTCGGCTGCGTGGCAGCTGAAGATCACATGCGAAGATGGCACCACCCCCTTTTCTTTAAAATAGAGGGGGCGGTGGCATCTGAGCGGTTACCGGATTATCGTCGTCGGTTGTTTTTTACCCCACAAGACTTGTGGTGGTAAATTACATTCCCGCCCGCCGCCAGGTGTGGCAGGCTACCACCCAAATTTCCGCCTTTTAGGGTTTAGGGCTCCGCCCTAAATTCCCACGACCGGATGACTCCAGTAATCTGCCAAGGCAAGACCAACTGACTCCAGTAATCTGCCAACGCCAGATTTGATTTTGCTTGCCCGGAAGACAGCCAAGCGCCATTGAAAGACCCCAAGGAGACAGCCTGGGAGGCACCAGGGAGGCAGGAAAGGACTAATTGACCAGCCTGAGAGATTAGGGAGGCACCAGGGAGGCAGGAAAGGACCATTTGGACAGCCTGGGAGGCACCAGGGAGGCAGGAAAGGACCATTTGGACAGCCTGGGAGGCACCAGGGAGGCAGGAAAGGACTAATTGGACAGCCTGCAAGGCACCAGGGAGGCA